ACTGTCTGCTTCCACTGTCGGAAGTGGGTGAAGCTCAAGGGTGAAGCAGGGGCTTCTGATGGGGACTGGCAGAGGATCAGAGAAGCCTTGGCCATTGCGGGGCCACCTGGGCGTGCACTCCAGATGGGGAGGTGAGCTGATGGTGGAGGCTGCAGTGAAAGGAGCAAGAAGTTCCTGACTCCCCCCACAGGCACCAGAGGTAGGGAGTTTGGTGGATTCAAGGGGGAAAGCAGAAGGAGAAAACTACAGCATAGAAAGAGTAGAGAAGATAGCCGTGGACCTCAGAGATGAGGAAGACACTCAAGGGAAGTGGGTCACAGCCTGAATTCTCAGACTCATTACTGGTTCACCCACAGGAGGTTGAAATTGAAAGTGCTCGATATGCGGAATGTGCACCAGAATTTCTGGAGAGTCTGGGCTGAAAATAAGTTGGACACCTGTTTCTCAGAAGCCATGAAGAGGAGAAGAATAGAGATGAGTGTCCCTCGGCAGGGAAAAACACAGCCCCTGCAGGTGATTGTAGATCTGTGGATCGGTCAGGAATGTCTATGTCCAGTGCGATCCGGCTTCTTCAAGTGGGTCCAGGAGAGGGAAGACCTGCTGCAGCTGGACTGTAAGAAGCTCTGCATTACAGCCAAGTGCTTTCAAGCAGTCACAGAGTCCCTGGAAATGCTGAATCTTGGTTCTGTGCAGGAGCTGGATGTGCATCACTGTTGGACACTCTCCACCTTGGCTCATTTTGCCCCTTTTCTGGGGCAGATGAAAAATCTTCACAAACTAATTCTCTCTGACATCCCTGTGCCTCCCATCATTTCCCCAGAGAGGAGAGAGCAGTTGGTCAACCAAATCACCTCTCAATTCCTTACGCTTCACTGTCTGCGGGAGGTGTACATGGACTCTGTCTCCTTCCTTAAAGACCACCTGGACCAGGTGCTCAGGTAAGATGTGAGGCTCTCTCTGCAGAGCAGAAGAGCCTTCCTCTGTTCTAGAAAGACAGTGAAGAGGGACAGCCAAGTGCTGGAAACCTGTTTCTCAGAAGCCATGAAGAGGAGAAGAATAGAGATGAGTGTCCCTCGGCAGGGAAAAACACAGCCCCTGCAGGAGGTGTGATGGGGATCAAACACTACAGCCCCCCGCAGGAGGTGTGATGGGGATCAAACACTACAGCTTCAGCACATTCACTGCCTGTTAAATCCTCAGGCCTACGACAAGGTGCCACATAGCCGCTGTGCTGGATTAAGCAGACTGAAAAGGGCCATGATGCTAGAATTCTGGGAGGTTTGAGTCACAGACACTCAGGGCAGGTGTGTGAATTCTTCCTGAGAAAGGTCATCTAGGCTAAGGTGGTGAGAAATCTCCAGGCCTCTCTGATCCGCCTAGCCGTGAACATGAGAAGCCTTTGTGCTAGGGTGGGCTGATGACCAGATGGGAAGTGCAGTAGTCAGAAACTGATGTCAAGGAACAGGGAGGGAGGTCAGGAACAGGAACAAGGACGCAAACTCAGCTGACAGCGTCTATGGCAATGCATGCCACTGTGGCCAGATCTTGCCTGATTTTTCATTCCTGCCTGTCTCCTGCTGCCCTCAGCCTGAAAGCGCTGCGCTCTTCTGCTTGGGAC